AGCATTTTAGTTCATATTCTCCTAATCATTAACAAACAAAAAGAAACCCCGAATAAATAAATAAATAAATAAATAAATAAATAAATAAACGAATTAATAACAAAATCACCTGATCATGGAATAAAATGAAAACATCCCACCTATTTCTATTATCTACGGAAGCAGCTGTCTCACTTGTGAGCACCTAGTGATCGAGCCTTGGCTCCGGGGGCTCAGCCGGGCCAAGTCCAAAAGAACAACAGGAGACCACCTCAACATGGACATGGACATGGAACCCAACGTCACTCGTGCTTAAGGAGTTGGTTGCAGATGCAAAAACTGGTAGCTGCATTTCCATCTTCCAAAACATCTTCAGAAATTCACTTTTATGTTAAAACTGTTGACATCAGCAATTATTACTGTAAAAATGGCTGATGGATTTTTTTACATGAATAATGAAAACAAAGAGATTTTTAATTTCTGTTGTTCCCACTCTATGTGCAGAACCTGTAAATTTCTATCACTCTTTGTAAAAAGAACAATAAGGTTAAGTTACTCTAGGTGGGAGGACTGCACATATTTTTCTTCTAAGAATAAAATTACAGGGGCATCATAACTCCTGAACCTGCTTATTTTTGCTTGTGCATCACTGGAGCACTGATTTATATCTGTTTGAATCTGTTTTTTTTTATGCCAAGCTTTTCCTCTTCAGCTCTGACATTTGTACCCTCTGCAGCATCTCCCTCTCACTGCTTCCCACTTTGGAGATATGGAGCTGTTTGTAAAGCAGCTTTGTAAAACAACTTATCTGTGCAGAGGTTCAGCAGGGAGCCTGAGCATGCAGAGCTTTTCCATAAGAACAGAAATAAATATTTTACAAAACTAAAATAATGGCAAGAGGGAGAGCATTTATAACACCACAATGATGTATTTTTATAATAAATTTATTAGTTAATTGAAAAATAAAAAATGTGAATTCTGATCAACAATACTTTTTATGACTCAGTGGTTTTAACTGATACATGCATTAGAAATACAATCCTGCTGTTGTTTACAGCAGCCAGTTTAATACTTTAACTTAACATGCAATTAAAAATGCAATTTATCAACTTTCATATGAAATTTATTGTCTTCATTTAGTGCAATTTCATGCTCTGACATGCATGAGTGGTTTCTTAGCTTGTGTGGGCACATATTTTCTACATCGTGAGAACCATTTTCCAAAAAGAGGCAGCATTGTGGGGAACGAATATGCATCGTGGGGAACAATGCCCTGTTCTCACGGATATGGATGCTAATTTCGGGTGTGGGGTTAAGTTTGGGACCAAAGTGTGAATTGAGTATAGGTCAGTTTTACGGTCAGGTAGGTACCTGTGAGGTTAGGGTTGGTGGTCAGGTTTAGGCTGTAGAAAATAATGGAAGTCAATGCCAGGTCCCCATAAAGATAGCTGTACCAGACTCTCTCTGTGTGTGTGTGTGTGTGTGTGTGTGTGTGTGTGTGTGTGTGTGTGTGTGTGTGTGTGTGTGTGTGTGTGTGTGTGTGTGTGTGTGTGTGNGTGTGTGTGTGTGTGTGTGTGTGTGTGTGTGTGTGTGTGTGTGTGAACTCCAGATGGCCTGTAAGCCTGTGCGGCTCAAGCAAGATTTTTATTGGCGCACCTAAATTCTGCAAACAGCCCCTAACTCCTAATTTAGATATTAATTAGTTTTCCTGTTACTTGGCAAAGCCCATTGATTTCCCCCGACACTGGTTGTGTTTATAAGCGAGGAGTCCATGGCTTCACTCTGCAGATGATTGTGTGGAAGGTGTAGGAGAATCAATAACATGTATGAAACAAAACAAGTTCATTAAATAAGACTAAACACTGTGACGGACCTGGGAAAGATCAGAACCATCAGCACTGGAGATTTGGCTATTTAGATTTTGATGAGTTATTTAGTGTTCATGACACTGGAATTTTGTGATTTTTTTTTTCTGTTACAAAAATGTCTGTGAACCACTGCCTTGTGTACATTTACTTTTTTTTTGCAGAATCTTAAGCTATTTTGAGAAAAACATGATAAGAATTGTAGTCTATATAATTTTTCAGAAAACCAGTTGATTCTTTTCTAAAAAGTTTTATTCAAAAACCTGACTCCATTACAGCTCACAGCCAGTCAGGCCAGTGTGTTCAAGGCCTTGGGTCTTATCTGAACTGTAACAACCCCTCTCAGCAGCCCAGTGTCTGCAGGCCACTCAGAATGATTAATAATGAGATATACCTCAGTAAAATCACATGAAAACATGAAACCTGACTTCCTGGTCACACCCCTGGGGGCAGTACCTTTTACGCCAGACATTGGAATGTAAAACAAACTTTGCTTATGTTACAAAGTGGGACATTGATAAAGGCCATCTTTCTTCCTCTGTTTACAGTATATGACTGCACAAAGTGTAAAATACAAGACTGGATCTTAAAATGATCCAAGATTAGTTGTAACTTTATTTGATAAACATATTTGATTGATTGATTGCTTGATTGCTTGATTGATTATGCCTTTATTGTCATTGTATGAAGCACAAGGAAAATGAAATTACATATATACGTATATATCCTTATACTGTATGTATTAGCTCAGCGCTAGTGCGACAAACAAGCGAAATTGAGGTCCTCCATCCATATTTTCAGTTGAAGGCTGAGTCATTTCCTCTCTGTCATGTGGATGGAGGACCTCAGTGACAAGAGGAGAATGTGTAGCGCTGAGCTAATACATATACATGGTGATAGCGTCGGGGCTAATGCTAAAGCTAACAGGCTAAGTTGAGGTTCTTCTTCCATGAAGCAGCTCTGTTGTCCTCCATCTATATTTTCAGTTCCAGGCTGAGTCATTTCTACCTTCTCCTCTCTGTCAACGCTCTCTGGTTTCATTTAAAAGAGTCGATTGTCAGATATTGTCCAAGATTAACCTTCAGGGTGGATATAGCTCGCTAGCAGCCTCGCACTGATAACCTCATTGATGTCATCATTTACCCAGAATGCTTTGTATGTAAATAAAATGGCCCTGTCCATGTAATGTATTTTTAAAAAAATAAGTTTGCCTACAGCATTTTTAGTCTTTATTTTACAGTTAAAATATTTATTTATCAAATAAAATCTAATGTTACAACTAATCATAGATCCCTTTAAATTCAGTTAATTTGTCACAAAATTTTCTTTGATTCCCTTACTTGGCATAACATAAATTACGTCAATAAAAACTACAACAAATTTATATGAAAAATTCTCTTCATAAGTTTTTAACATCTGCTCATCAGAACAGGATGATTCTAAACATTTCCCAACCCAAGAAATTCAATTTTTATTCCTCCCAGTCATAAAAATATTCATTATAAAGGTAGTTGTACTACTTTTCTTTTTCCACTCTTCTATCATTCCCTCCCCAACCCTTAGCCGCTTCCAAAGTTGCTTCACATTTGTACACATTTGCAAATGATACTCTTCTCATTCCAATGTGGTCTCTGATCCATTGTCTTCTTTCTCTGGGTGTAGGTTCTACATCCTCATTTTCATTTGACAGTTTGGGATCCCCTGGTGGAGAGGAGAAGGTGTTCAGTTGTTCTCCAGTAGCAGTTTGGGGGAACTCCTTCAGTTTGTGGTACTGATGGAGAGCCTGGTTCTGATTCTGCGGTTGGGGGGGGGATCCTCTTGCTGTGGTTTTGAATCTTCAGATGCCTCCTGAGCCTGCTAATAACTGAACATAACAAAATAAATATGACCAGATTTTCTCTCGCAATCAACACCATCTTTTCCACACTGAGATTGGAGCGCAGCTGTCCCAGTGAAATGGTGGGCGAGTGTCTGGTTCTTGGGTGTGGAACCTCATCTGTTTAGCGCCGCTTTCCATTGAAGATGTGGAAGATTTGTACATATTTGGATTTATGATAACTGGATTCCTGCTGATCGGCTGTGGAGGAGTCCTGGCTTATTGGAAAATAAAAGCGATCCTGACAGCAGTCCGGGCCTGTGAGAAACTGTCAGGAACCTTGGATGGAGTCTCCCGCACCGGAAACGCAAAGACTCAAATGTTGGGGGATATAATTCACAAACTGGACGTGATTCTGACGAGAATCACAGTTTAACAGCATGCCCATGCGATGTAGGATTACACCTGGGTTAAGTTTCAGATGGAAAGAGAGGCGAGGAGGTAATGAATTTGGAACAATGGCATTTTTGCCATCACAGAGATGCAGTTGCAGACTTAAGGCAGTGAGAAAATCAAGGCTACTTGTCCCGAAACAATTATGTTCATGTTTTGGATCCCTGCAGCTGCTGACCTTGGCTCGGCAGTTATCAACTCCCTGGATGACACGTGAAATGAAGGCTTGACTCCCCATCCCCTACCCATATCACTCGTGGGTGGATCAGTCTGAAGGCCACGATGGGTGGAGACAGAGCACTGACTCTGGTGATTTGTACTTTGGTTGATAACAACTTGTTTTGGACTCTGGAGGTCTTTGACTGGTTCCAGTACTGAGTATTAACCTGAAATGTCACCAGCTCCGCTGAATCCCACCCCATACCTGTATTTGACCCCCAGCCCCCTCACTTCTTTAGCTGCCTTGCACTGAGCGAATGGGTTCTTTTTTTGAGTGTACTATCCTGTGTTTCTGTAAACATAGGATCAGAACATCTTTTTTAACTCATCTTTCCTATTGTGTGTATTCCAAGCTGCAAAAGGTAGTGCGACCCTGTTGCGAAAGACCTGAACATCCGTTCTCCCCATTGTTTGTTATGTGTGTTATAAGAATGGATGTTCTTAATTGCAAGTTCTGTGTTTATCACTGACAATGGCAATAAAACTGATTCCGATTCTTTAACTTTTTCTTCTAGTTTTACAGTGACATGATGATTTTTTTCCCTGAACTACAAACTTTATCTAAACTAGCCTCTGCCTCACACCTTGAGCCTGTACAATGTTTGTCAATAAAGCAATGCTAATTTATGTAATTTACCATTTGTTTGTCTCTGCTTTTGTTTTTCCAGTGCACCCCAATCGGAGGTCACGGGTTTGTCCTGGACAAGTACAAGTGTCAGTGTCGTAGAGGGTTTTATCATCCAAGCCGAGTGGTGGTCAATGGATTTAAAAGTAGGTTAAAAATCTCTTTGTATTATTAAAACACAGTACAATTAGCTGTCAGATCAAAATTCTCAACCTTTCAAAAGCAAGATTTAAAAAATTTAGCACACAAAGGAGAAAACCAGACACCTTTGTTTGTTCTGATGGCACACTTTTAATCTGGCATTGTTGTTAAAGCTTTGAACAGGTATCCAGCTGTGAAACCTCAAGCTCATGACACATTATTTTGACTGTTTCTTTCTTTTTGTTCCCTGAAAATATGCAAAGCAGGCAATAACACATTTGCCTGCATCTCTGTCTGTGTGTGTACAAACGCTTCTGATACCTAGTTGGGGCAATTTTTGACTATTTTCCTGATATACACAGCCTGGTGAGGACACACTGTTCCTTTTGGGGAGAAAAGCCCGGGTCCCATTGGGGGAAATACCATTGGTGAGTCAGGGGTTTGGTTCAGGACCACGTTGTGAGATGAGTTTAAGTCAGGTTTTGGGTAAGGGGTCAAGGTTGTAAGGACTGATAAATGAATGGAAGTCAATGCAAAGTCCAAACACGTGTTTATAGTATGTGTGTGCGCACATGTCTGTTTGCTAGCAAAATATCTCTTGAACCACTGGATGGATCTTATTGAAATGATGTAAGATATCTGTGCTGAAATAAGAGAACAGGTGACTCCTAAATCACAGGCCTGTTGAATCACAGAGAACACATGTTGATGCATGAAATTATCTCAAAGATGTAGTCACCATTAATTTGCTGAACGGCAGCCATTATTTTTTCTTTGGCGATGCCTGCCTCAGCTTTAGGGCTTATGTGATTTGCAAAACAACGGGTGGACTTTTGCTGCAGGGGAGCAGCTTTTTATTATTAAAGTCTAGTCAGGTGTGGAGGTATCCTTTATGAGTGTCTGATGCATTTTGACATCTGGACTGAAAATGGTGCAGTATCCTTGGGTATAAAGCTTTCTCTGATGAGCAAAAACATGACTGCTGTGGTCCTCTTTCCTGATTCCAGGCTTCCTGCCCCTCAGAGAGGGTAATTTAATAAGCTGGAACTTAGGTGTGATGAGGCTTACAGTCAAAAGCTCAGTGTGGGGTGGGAGACTAATCCCCCCCCCCCACCCCCCATAGATACCCTTCAGTAGCTCCTTTTAGTGTCTTGTAGCTTAGAGCTAATTATCGTCAGAAAGTGATGGTGGCTGACCTAGAATTTGATGTGGTAGTGGCTGGAACCAATCTTCAACACATTCTCTGGGCTTTAAGTGACGGCAAAGGGTATTTGCTTAAAATTTAGCCAATAGCTACAAGTAGTTAACTCTGTCTATTAGCAAAAAAGTCTCATAAACTCATAAAACCTTCAGAAAATAATCAGTGAATGTCTTTCTACAACTGATTATCTTTTAGAACCACCTCAATTCAAGATGGTCATTACAACTAACTGATCGTAGGAAACTCAAAATTGGGCAATTCATCTTGACAATGGAGTTGGGACTATTGAGATTCTGAAACCTTCTTCACACTCCCTCCAAACTGCCCAAATCAGCTCAGATTGTCTCAGTTTCATGACAAAAATTACGTCACCGTGTTCTCACCATCGACCCTGCCACCCCTTTTGTTACAACCCACAGGCAGAACTTTTTACCATCCTAAACGAATTATTGTGTGATTTGTCAGAAAATCGTGGGAGTGTTTGTTTGTGCTGAAAGCGCTCGGACACTGCATTTTGCTTTAACCACTCTCTTAAAAAAAGAAAAAGAAAAAAATGTAAAAAAGCAGGAAAAGTAAAAAATGACTCGCTTCCTGAAGCTGACTGTTGTAGATAACAGGAAGCAGACATTTATAAAGAGTCAAACAACAAAAACTGATGGAGATTAAACAGATGTTGTGCATGGAGGAATCAGTCAGATAAAAATTGTGGAGCTTTAACTGTGAGAGATTTGAGGACAAATAATATCAGGTGACTGGTCTTAGATTCATTTATTTGTTTCACATTGTAGACTCCAGCTGGAAGAAACCCCGTGCAGTGATGTATACCTCAGCGGGAGGGGTTTCCCAGGCGCTCTGCACTGTTTGTCTCAGGAGCTATGAAATGTGTGTGCGAAAACGAACAACCATGTGACAGCTCGTCGACTGTTCGGCTTCAGAGGGAGTATGTTGAGACCTGACATGAACACAGCTCTCCACTGAACAGCAGGTGTTGATGTGAGCTCCTTCCTGGTCCCAAGCACTGACAGGAAGCTCAGTCCTCACACAGCGTAGCGTAGCTCCCAGCTCCAGGCAGATAATTCAACCCATCTTGGTGCAATGCTACTTGACTGATCTATTGGTGCATTCCATTGACATTGTATTTCGGACCTGGGATGTAATTTTCCAACAAACTATATGAAACCACATTCCAGTTAGCCCACAGGTGATTGTGTTGCTGCCACTGACCTAGCTACAACACTATTATAATATAAACAGTGACAAAAACAGAGCTCTACTATGAATGTCATGCAATTAAACATTGTTTTAATATACCACATGCACAAAAAATGCCGCTCTTCCATGAAAGTCATCTCTGTGGAGCTTATGAACAGACAATCCCATCCCTGAAGAAGAGCTGCCAGGCTCCATTAGGGTTATCATTGGTTGTTTCTTTGCCTGATTCCCTTGGCTGATTTATGTTGGTGGTATGTTTCCATTTTGTAATAAAGGATTTTTTTTTATTTCTTTATGGGATGTTTTCATACTTCAACCCTGATCTTTTCATCTCCAGAACTTTGACTCTGACCTGTTTGGAGAATTTCTTAGTCTTCATGCTGCTGCTTGGTTGGTGGTAGCTCACACTGCTGAAGCCAGATTCCCACTGTGCATTTTTCAGATGTAAAAAAATTAAATACCTCTTTAAAAAACTGTTGTGAAAGAATATATACTGTATATATATATATAAACATTTGGTTGTGAGTTTGAGTTGACGGCCTCAGTGTGACAGGTTCACCAACAGGTGATGTTTCTCACTCACAACCAAAGACAACAACAAAAATTTCACCCAACCTTAAGTGTAAGGTTAAGTTGTCTCCTTTTCCTCCAATCAGTAGCCAAACACTCCACCCCTACCACAATGTCCAATACCAAGAAGGATGACAACTTTTGTAATCAATGCATACAGTTTCATTGTGTACCAAATTACTTTATTTATTACGTCAGAATATTTAACATTAATTAGACAGGATATCGCTACTGAATCATATGAACTTCCACTACAGCTTATGAGCTCTGAGATGTTGAAGAGTTAGTAATCATTGCAGTGTCTGCTGTATTTATACTTATTTATTGAATTCAGATTTCAAAAGAAGCACTTTTGCTAAATGTAAACACTCAGACAATGACAAAAGGAAAATGTGATCTACAGACTGAATGCATTCAGAGCTTTAAAGGGTGTCATGTATTCACAGCAGAGGATTGAAGAAGATGGTGTGACATTTACAATATATATATACTTACAGGGGTAGACATAACCATTGTTTAGGTTGTCCGAGACAACCATATTTTCATTTCGACAACCAGATCCTGTCTCCTGGTTGTCTGGTGGACAACCAAGAAAAAAAGACCTTGATTAACAAGTTGCTAAATTACATTTTTTCTTGAGATTCCTTTGGACAACCAAAATGTTTTGCGGACAACCAGGTTTTGTCAACAGGTTGTCCGCTGGACAATTTCCTTATGTGGCAGATGTCCAAGAAAGAGTCTCAGGTATGAAAAACTGGACAGCACCAGGGCCTGACATGATCCATGCCTACTGGCTAAAGAAATTMRCTGCCCTCCATGAGAGACTGGCAGCTCAACTGAACCAGCTGCTACAAAATGGGACTCACCCTGAATGGTTAACTGAAGGGCGCACGATCCTCATCCAGAAGGATCCCTCAAAGGGTTCAGTCCCATCCATCGGCCGATAACCCGTCTCTCTACAACATGGAAGCTCATGTCAGGCATCATAGCGGCCAAGATAAGCGGGCACATGGATAAATACATGAGCAC